TTGGGAGCAGGGAGCGTGAAGGCAGGACTGGGAGGAAAGGGAGCTGGGATCAGGCTGTAAAGAGATTAAATTAATAAATAAATGAAAAAAAAAGTAAAAAAAAAAAAAAAAGAGGAGAAAAGTTTTCATCCTGCAGTAGCCGACAGAGGGCGACATTGCACAGATTAGAGATCTCCATTTCTGATCCTCACCTTCAATTTAGTCCTTCCTCCCCTGCAGGTTGCAGAGTATCTGCCAGCTGAGGAGAATCAAGACGCCAGAAAGTCAGGACCAGCACCACATCTTCAGGTTTTTCTTTTTCTTTAGAATTTCACCTAAAGAAGGAAGCTGTTTTGTCAACCTTGTGCCACCTGTCCCTAAGAACTGAGAACCGCAGCCACTATCCTGCTCGAACCAAGCTTTTCCATTCAGGCATCAGAGGTGTTTCCTGTAATAAGCCATGTTCCGGGTCCTCACCTCCTTCCTGGGGATACAATTTTTCCTGGGTGAGTATAATTATTGTTTGTAGATGCACATAATTCGCTGCTTTTCTTACTTAACTTTCAGGAAGATCATTTTTCATCATGAAGTCCTCGTTGCATTTTCCGATTTATCATTGATTTCTCAGGAGCTGTCCAAACACAGTCAGTTACCCAGTCTGATGCCCAAGTCACTGTCTTCGAAGGAGAGTCGGTGGAGCTGAAATGCAACTACTCCTATGGTGGAGCCCTTTACCTCTTCTGGTACATCCAGCACCGTGGCCACGGCCCCCAGCTTCTCCTCAGGTACTACTCAGGAGACCCAGTGGTTCACGGCATGAACGGCTTTGAGGCTGAGTTTAGCAAGAAGGACTCTTCCTTCAACCTGAGGAAAGCCCCTGTGCACTGGGGCGACTCGGCTGTGTACTTCTGTGCTCTGAGCGCACAGTGTCTGGGGCTGCAGGGGGAGCTGAACGCAAACCTAAGAATCTGGGGAAGATACCACAGCTGAGAAAGGAATTCAAATAACCTCCCTGGCTCTCCAAGTTGGGCTTCTCTGGAATTGTTACTTTTCTCTGTATCTGGACTATATCGGCATTTGGTCATGGCTCCAAGGAAAAGTGACATAGCAGGATAAAAAGCACTAAATGATTCCTGAGACATGTTTGCTTCCTTAATGGTTGTTTTGTAGACTGGGTTTTCTACTGACTGAGACTCCATGAGACTTGAAAGTACAAGTTAGTTCCACATGACCAATGACTGTAAAGGCGTTTACATAGTGTGGACCAGAGGGAGAGGTGTTAGCTTCCTCAGTGTCAGACTGAAGGCTAGTGTCAGGAAGGGTAACTGTTTGCACTCGATGCCTCAAGAGCCTCAGAGACACTCTCCACCTGTGATGGTTGATGTAGTCCCCTTGACTCAGTGTAGAATCGCATCACAGAGCATCTCAGCAAGGACTTATGTGGATCAGGTTGGCCTGTGAACATGTCTGTGTTGGATTAAAATGATCACTGTGGGAAGACACAGCCTGAACATGGGCAGCACCATTCCGAGTTTGGGCCCTAAGCCCTGAACGAAATGGAGAGAGTGAGCAGAGCATGCCATGCGCACATCCTATGCTCTTTGTTCTTGATTATGGAGGGGATGTGACAAGTTCTGTTGCTGGGAATTCCATTCTAAGATGGACTGTAACCCGGAATTGTTAGGTCACATAAATGCTCTTTCTTCTAAGTGATCTTTGTCAGATTTTTTTGTCATAGCAACTGGATAGGGAACTAGGATGCCATCCTTACTCCAACAGACTTAAGAACACAGAGTAAAGAGACCGGAGGCAAGAAAGAGAACACAGTCTGACCTCAACGGGTGAGATGATTTCAAACAGTGAAGGACACTCTTTTGTGGAAAATGGGGGTCTGCAAGGAAAGAGGGGAATACTTGGAATTCCTAGAGTGGATTGTGATAAAGACTTGTGTGCAGTTGCAAGGGGCCATGTACAGGTCTGCAGCCTCTCATCCCTGGTATTGTCTGCTTATTTGAGATAGACTGTCTTGGGAAACAGGCTGTCTCACCAAAATGTTTCATTTCTGGGGTTCACTGGGACTGGAGTAAGGACAGCCATAACCTCATAGGGATTCTGTTTGTCCAGCTGAGACATACTATCATATGTGATCAATGCAATAGTATTTATTCTTCTGTAAGTGTGACACATTTCGTAAATCAACAAATGAAGTAGAAATCAAACCTCAAAGCTTTAGACAGTAATAAATGCCATTTGAACAAATTATAACATCATTTAAGTTTATTTGTCTAGATAAATACAGTTTTACTCAAATATAAAGTTTCAATTAAAATTTAAAACATTTGCCAATAAAATTGTCATTGTTCTTGTTTTACTTCTCTGTGTTACTCTCTTTCATTATCTGACAACAAAGATTACAATCTTTGATTCCCTAGTTTGGGTTTTGCATTTGTAATATATATGTGTGTGTGTGTGTGTGTGTGTGTGTGTGTGTGTGTGTGTGTTAACAATGTGTAGCATAGCCTGGCACTGTGGCACACAGCTTTAATCCCAGCACTCAGGGAGGCAGAGGCAGGCAGATCTCTCTATGAGTTCAAGGCCAGCCTGATCTGCAAAATGAGTTCAGGATAGCCAAGGCTCCATGAGAAACCCTGTCTCAAAAAATCAAACTAATCCAAACCAAACCACCAACACTGCCACTACCACCACCACCAACAACAACAAAAAACAGTGTGCAGCTCTGTGTTTTTAAATATACACCAATAATAAAACATTGTAAACATGATTACGAAGCTTCATGTTTTCACTAAAATAATTTGGAGTCATGGAAAATTTGTAGTAATCTATTTCAATGTTTTGAATTGTTATGAATCAACTCATTTCAGAAAGATATAAAATGTCACTTTCAACGGGCCTTTGGGCAGGGCAGTGCCAGCAGAAGTAATGGCAGTCTCAGTCAGAAGTCAGGTTCACAAAGATCAATAGGTCACTAGCAGTCATCTTCAGCCCTCTGCACAGTTCAGTCTGCCTGTATCAGCCCTTGCCACCTCTCTTCCCAAGTTCAAGTGGGCAGCTATGAAGGACCAAGACTAAGCAGACCACCTAGACTCAGAAAATACATGTCACAACCAGGCACCAATACTCACTGTTACAATTCAAAAGTCACTAGGACATATTTTTAAGTATTTACAATTTCCATATTTCTGTTATAATGTGAGGTATATGGGTTATTCTTAGTTCAATGTATATTTCTGTGAAGAGACACCATGGCCTAGACAACATATAGAAAAAAGAGTTTATTTGGGCCTTACAGTTTAATACAGTTGAGTCCATGACCTTCATGGTAGGGAGCATGGCAGCAGGCAGGGGTGCATGGTCCTGGAGCAGTCCCTGAGAGCATACATCTTGAGACACATCACAAGGTAGAGAAAGTGACATTGGAAATTTCCCGAACCTTTTCAAACCCCAGAACAGGATCATGCCTTTTAACTCTACCCAATTTTACCAGCTGGGAACCAAGCATTCATGAGCCTATAGAGACCCATATCAGGGAAAAGACCATAGTTTCTATTAGTATTATTATTCGTTTTTTAAAAAATTAGCATTTGTTACAGTTCATTCAATTTGTATCCCAGCGGTGGCCCCCTCCCTCGTCTCCTCCCAATCTCATCCTCCATCCCTTTTCTCTCCCTATTGTCCTCCTAGTCCTCTGATAGGGGAGGTCCTCCTCACCTTATATTTGACCATAGCATATCAGGACTGATTACATTGTCTTCCTCTGTGGCCTGAAAAGTCTGCAACTCCAAGGGGAAGGTGATAAGAGAGATTGTTACTAAGATCAAGTCAGAGAAATTCCCTTTTCCCCTTACTAGGGACCCACTTGAATACTGAGTCTCCATTTGGAGATCCTGTTCCTTCCAGGTCTTTTTATCTCCCCATTCTTTCATAAAATTCCACGCTGTCTGCCCAAAATTTGACTGAGTCTTAGCAACTGCTTTGATACTTTGATCAGTAGATTCTTTCAGAGGCCCTCTGTGGTAGGCTCCTGTCTTGTTCTCTGTCTTCTCCTGCTTCCAATGTCTATCATGTCTGTCATGTTTGTCCTTCTGAATGAGGATTGACTATCTTCCCTAGGGTCTACTTTGTTGTTTGTAACCAAGAAGCAGAAAGACATACATGGTATATACCCACTCATAAGTGGATATTAGCTATATAATATAGGATAAACATACTAAAATCTATACTCTTATTATTATTATTTTTGAAGTTATGGCAATAGACCCAAAGTCCTCATGAATTCTAGGCTAAGTGCTGTATCACTGAATAATACCTATACTTTTAAAAATATTAATTATATATGTGTAATAGAATATTGTCATTTTTCTTTGCAAAACTTTTATTAGGTTTAGTTTCTTGTGTTAAAAGTTTCTAATATGAAACAAATTGCTATTTTAAGTAGTGACATTCCTTTAACTAAACAACATTCATTAACGTACTAATTAAAGAAATATTTACTAGCTTTTTAAAGGTTTAATCCACTTGTCCAAGTATGATGCCATCACAATTGAAAAACTTTGTTTCTTTCCTCAAAAGTAATTTGTTAGTGATTAAATATGTGTTGACTTTTCTAGTTTTTATATTTTTCCAGTGGATTACCACATGTTCCAAACTGGCTACATGGGACACTTAGAAATGGCATGCAAATGCTTTCTCGGGGAACACAACATACAAGGTGCAATTAAACCAGTCACAACTACTATTCAGAATTACAGAAATACCATCCAGTAGCTATAGGTTTCTTAAGCAAAATAAAAGAGCCAAGAGCAGCACGCTGTCATTGACTTCTGAGAACATAGGTCAACAATCCTCTGAGGTGTTTAAATTACCCACATGTGTTGGGGGTGTGTCTACCCAACACATACCCATTTCCTGTTTAATTCTGGGCTCACAACCATTCTTTCACTATAACTGTATCCTTTCCTAATGTAAGAAGTTAGGGTCCACATCCTCCAGTGGCTCAGAAAATGAACTCTTCCCTTGGCCTTACAATTGCACTCTTTTTAGTGATTGGTAAGTGGAATGACACATTGAGCTTCTGTCTTGTCCCATGATATTGATGTAAACTTTTATAGATCTTTTTCCTATGAGGCAGAACCCAGGTCATAGCTGCACTGAACTGTTATTAATTTCTCTTTTAAGGAGAAAGCAATGGAGACTCGGTGACTCAGACAGAAGGTCAAGTGACGCTCTCTGAAGGGAATTCTATGACTGTGAACTATTCCTATGAAACTAAACAGTACCCTTCCCTGTTCTGGTATGTGCAGTATCCTGGAGAAGGTCCACAGCTCCTCTTTAGAGTCTCAAAGGCCAATGACAAGGGAATCAGCAGAGGATTTGAAGCCACATATGATGAGGAAACCACCTCCTTCCACTTGCAGAAAGCCTCAGTGCAAGAGTCAGACTCGGCTGTGTACTACTGTGCTCTGAGTGACACAGTGACAGAAACCACAGCAGGAGCTGAGCACAAACTCTGAGGAGGAAGGGACTGGCTGCTGAGTGTTCTGAGATCACTCTTTTAGGGGCCACAGCAGGTCTTCTATTGTGGATACTCACCACACACCCAGGTACTGCTGGAGTATAAAAGCATCCAAACTAACGTGAAGAACAAATTAGGAAGGAACCATGCCTTACTTTAGACTTTATCAGGATGAGTGAAAGCAGTCACACACATCAGTGATTTCCCTTTTTAGTTTTTGTTTTGTGAGATGGGATTTCAGGTAGCGCAGGCTGGCCTTGGACAACTTGTGAAGCTGAGGTTGGCCTTGAACTCTTCTCACCTGCACCTCCAATGGGCTAGAGTTACAGGCATGAAGCATCATACAAGGCAGAATGTGCAATTTCTTAAATACAAAATCTCTTGTTGAATAAAATTGTCTGTATGTTCATCATCCCCTATAATTCTAATCTGCAGAACTTTACTCATGTCATTAATGGAATTATCATGTGTAGAGACAAGCCAAGACTTATGAGACTGCATGTTCCTCCACATCTTCCTGGTAAACTGCAGAGAGAAGGGGTTATTTCATTTCCTCTCAAAGTCTGATAAGGTATTTGTTACTTGTAAAGATTCTTATGTTTGCCTGAATTGAAAAGTAGAAGCCCAAGTGGACACTGAACTGCCATGGGTTACATCTATGCAGGGGTTTCAGGTTCCATAGTAATGGGAACAGGGACTGTCGCTGACATGAACTGTTTGGCCTTCTCTTTGATCACCTCCCCCTAAGGGGAGAGCAGCCTTACCAGGCCACAAAGGAAGACAATGCAACCACTCCTAATGAGACCTAATAGACTAGGTTCAGAAGGAAGGAGAGCAGAACCTCCCCTATCAGTGGCCTTGGGGAGGGACATGGGTGGAAAAGGGGGAGGGAAAGTGGGATTGAGAGGGGAGGGGGGAGGGAGCTACAGGGGGGATACAAAGTGAATAAACTGTAATTAATACAATAATAAAATATAAAAATAATAATAAATAAAAATAATAAAATTAATAAAAGTAGAAGTAAATAAAATGAAAAAAAGTAGAAGTTTATGTCTTGTGACAATACATTCCTGCCATTTTTGTTTGGCATTCTTTGTTCTTTTGGCCAAAATCTAGCACATTCTGTAGCCTCATCCTTATGTTTCTAGTGTGTTCTTTTTCAGTGTAATCTGTCAGCAGTCGTGATATGCATGGACTAAAAAGATGCTGAATCTTGGGTGCTTTGGTCCTGGGGGAAAAGTGGAGTAAGATGAAGAGATGAGAGGACTCAGTTCTGTTTACAGGTCAAAGAGAGGAAAACTGAATCAAGCACTGGCTGATTCAGAGCTGGCATTGTTAGAAGCAATAAACGTATTGTGGTGCATTTAGGAGATAAAAGAGGGCAAGAATTAGAGAGAGGGGTGTAGACAACTATTCCGAAGAGATTCACAGACCTCCAAGAAATCAAGGGACAAATAGATGGACATTCACAAGTCAATGGAAGGAATATTCCTTCTTTCTGTAGGATATTCCAAAAGACAAAATGGATCCCAGACCCAAAATGTAACAACCAAGTTATGATTCATTTTCCAAAATTTATTGAGTTTGGATGGTGTCTCTGTGTGTGTTTGAGTGTCTGTGTCTGTGAGAGGGAGAGGAGGTAAAAGAAGGGGAGGGAGAGGGAGAGAGAGAGCGAGAGAGGGGGGAAGGACACATCAAGTGTCCTAAAGCTGAAGTTACAGGCAGTTCACACCTGGGAACCAAACTGCAAGAACAGTTAGTGCTCTGAGCCACTGAGTCATCTCTCAAACCCCAGCATAACATGTTTAAGTAATAGAGATAAACTTCCATGACATGATTTGGGCAAATGTGTCTAGATTATGACAACAAAAGAGCAAGAAAATAGTGAATATAAAATATAAACTGAAGATAAAATACTTGGTCCTCACTGATGTGAGAAACATTGAATTTTTTAATTAATTAACCTTAAATTCTGGTTGAAACTTCCCCTCTGTCTTCTCCTCCCAGCCCCTCCGTCTGCTTTCCCCTCCCCTCCACCTATGCCTACTTCCTTTCTTCTCAGAGAAGGGTAGACCTCCTGGGGGTATCAACCACCTTGGCAGATCAGGTAGGACAGGGCACATCTTCAGTTGAGGCTAGACAAGGCAGTTCAGTTAGGAGAAGGATCCAAAGACAGGCAACACAGTCAGAGATAGCACCTGCTCCTGCTGTTAGAGGTTCAACATGAGGGATCAAGCTGTACATCTGAAGAAACATTTAATTTTTTCGATGCTAGGGTTGAACATAGGCTCCATGAATGCTAGGCAACTGCTCTTCTGAGCTATAGGCTTAGTTTTTAAATGCTTATGCTTTAAAGCTTACCATTAATAAAGTGAAAAGAGAATCCAAAAGTTGAAGGAAATGTTTGTGAATCATGTATCTCCTGAGGCAGTGTCAAACAGAATGTATAAGGATACGATTTAAAAAACCATAGGGTAGCATGAGAAATGCAAAGGGATAAGTGGTTCAATGCTTGCTCCTCTAATAAGCATTAATGGTGGCACATGTTTGCAATTGCAGCAGTCAAACTGAAGTGACAGAAAGATTATGAATTTGAAGCCAGCCTAGGCTACACATGACTATTTTAAACATAAAAGATAAACATAAAGCATAATTTAAAAGATAGAATACAAAGTCAGTCTTTAGGATACTCTAATTTTACTCAACATAATAGATAATGTCAAATGAATGTGAAATGGTGATTGTTGGCATTGATGTAGAGTCTTTATACATTTTAGGTACCAATGTAAAATGCTGTGGTTAATAGTAACTTTACTTCTGTTTTTATTCTGAAGAGAATTAATATCATTTCCACACAAAAAGCTGCACCAAAATGTTCAGGGCAGAATTAGTCATGATAGCCCCAAAGGAGAATAACCTAATGCCTATCACTAGATGAATGGGAAGACATCCTCTATGTTCCAAAGGATATTTTGCAGCATTAAAAATGATAGCATACTGATACATAATAAAATATAATGTCCCCTAAAAAAGTGAAGATGCTGTGATGGTTCTTCTTGGTTATCAGCTTGGCTGGATCTGGAATCAACTAAAAAGTCAAGCTACTGTGCACAGTGTTTCTCCTCTTCTGGAGAGCTCTGACTGATTCAGATGCCCTGCATTGTTTTCCCATGCACTGTTCAGTATAGACAAGTCTACAAACACATCATTTTTTTCTATCTATCTAGAGTTAGTGAGCTCAGATATCAGGGAAATTGGTATGATGGCGAGTGATGATGGTCATACAATTGTATGAACAAATTAACAATTACTGAAATATATAGAAAAATGCATATTTTAAATGACTGAAATTATACAGCATATAAAGAATGCCTCATAAGATCTGTTAATTATATAAATCACTAGAAAGAAGAAAAATCATATTTTATAAAAGTAGCTTTAAAAAACTGACCAAGCAAACAAAAGAAATCCAGTGGCTCAACTTTCTAATTTAATACAGAGACTGTCTCCTCTCAAACCTTCTGAGCCTACTGTCTCATGGGAGCCCAAGTATCTGGCAGGTTCTAGAGGCTTCAAGTCCTGCTTATTGGGTTTCCTGCATCTCTACCTGATAGAGGACACTTTCTGTTTCAAAAAGAAACCAGATCTGTTCTTTAAAAACTAAGCAATCTTAACTATCAAAACGAATCAGAAAAATACCCCAACCTTCTCCCAAACCAATCATTTCCTAGTTCACTCATGATAAACCCCAAAGTTTTATTTTCTTAAATATTTTGTCACTGCAAGCTCTAAGGAGGAGATCTACTTAGTAGATCTCTTTATAGTTGCTTTGAAAAGCATCCCTTTGAATATACTCACAGATAATTTCCAGTTTCTGCTCAAATCTATTTTAGTGATGTCTTCTCTAAACATCACATATAGAAGGGCAATCCTTCATATGTCATTTAGGCTTAGTCTTTTCTGAATGGACAAATGTTATCCATCTATCTATCTATCTATCTATCTATCTATCTATCTATCTATCTAATCTATCTATCATCTAGCACAGTTCTACAAACAGGAATTCCAAGATAAGGATGTTGACAGAAGTTTATTCTGAGGGCTTCCTCTTTACTTGTAGATGACCCCTTCTCCCTAAGTCTTCACCATTTTTTCTCTGTTGATGTTCATATATTCTTATATGAACATCATATAAAAATATATGATGTTCATATATTCTTATATGAACATCAGCTCATTTAATTAGAGCTGGCCTCATTTTGCTTTGATCCTTTATTTTAAAGGCTCTGTCTTTGAATAAGTCGCATTTTGAGGTAGTTAGGGTCTTAGCGTCAACATAAACATTTTGGGGAGGGCACAATTCAGGGTTCAGAAGACTGACATTAAATATATTCTCAATGCATGTGGAATGTAGATTCCTCCCTGACCCAGTACCCGTGGATTTCTGTTGACTCAGAAATCATATATACCCTGGATAACGGGGATTTCCCACCTTCTCCTAAATGGATTTCTATAAGAATGAGAAACATTCAGCCACAAACAACTCATTAAATATCATGATTCAAACTATAAAGAATGGAGCTAAATGGACCAGTGATAAAAATGATAGGTGCCTCATATCCCTGATCTCTCCAATACTTTAAACATGAATGGATGTTGGATTTTGTCAAATGCTTTTTCAGCATCTAAGGAGATTATCATGTGGCTTTTTTCTTTCAGTTTGTTAATATGGTGGATCACATTGATGGATTTCTCTATATTGAACCACCCCTGCATACCTGGGATGAAGCCTACTTGGTCATAATGGATGATATCTTTGATGTGTTTTTGTATTCGATTTGCTAGTATTTTGTTGAGTATTTTTGCATAAATGTTCATAAGGGAGATTGGCCTGAAATTCTCTTTCTTTGTTGAGTCTTTGTGTGGTTTAGGTACCAAGGCGACTGTGGCTTCATAGAATGAGTTTGGTAATGTTTCTTCTGTTTCTATTTTGTAGAG